CTCAAAATAATTATCTCAGCTTCTGTCTGTCACTTTTAAGCTTCAGTGTCATTACGACTAAGGCGTGAGTCACACCTGCAAGTGTCTTGTTTCTGTATTCGAATTAAGAGCGCTTGCCCGCAGAATGGGACAACATGTTGGATTGTTAGAAAAAAAATAAGCAGAGTGACGTAGTGATGGGAGCCTGCAAAGAGGTATTCTTTGCTGATGAGGGTGTGTAGCAGTAGCTGGAAGTTAAAACTGCCAAATGATGTCTTTACTCCGTTCCAATGGAAGAGATGTATGCATAAGTGGGAGAGGTAGGAAAATACATTTAAATATAATAGGCTATAAATAGCAGGCTGTGTATGAATATGTGGGAGCTGTCCAGGGAACCTAGCATAGGTTCATCCCAGTCTGTGTGCTGCCAGTTTCGCTTATTCCTGTGTACTGGTCCCATGGTAGTTTTTGAAGCTCACGTCACTACTATGCCACTGTGGAACGAGCCAAGATCCCAAGAGAAGATCTGAGCCCAGCTAACAGGGTGGCCTACTTTACACAGACAATATGGGATCTGATGGTGCCAAGTTCAGCTACCTTCAAAGTGTGGCTATTGGAGAACCTCAGGAATGCTTCAGCCTTTAGCAGGCTTCCATTCAAAATCTCCCTGCTATTTGGGGCATTGTGAATGGAAAAGGAAGACAGAAACTAGGAAGTATGTCTTGGACAACATACAGGGCCCAGAAGAGATCTCAGCCAAATGCTCTTCCATATCGACTTGACCAATCCGCATCAGGTGGTTCTAGTCCTGAAGAGTGCTGATGTGAGTCAATCCATACCACTGTGCTAGCGGCCCGGGTCTCTCCCCGGTGCAGTTCACAAATACAGTACAACTGTAGAAAAACCACTTGGCTTCCTGTATCTAGGATAGCAGGATTGGGTTTTGCTGATGAAATTCCTTGCTTAATTATCCAATGAGGGAATGCAAGGGGAGACAGAATATCCCAAACTCCTCAGGGTACTGAAGTGGTCCCCAGTGAGTCCTGTTCATATGGTAGTAGCACGGTGCTTTAGGGTATGTAAGGAAGAGCTGTGTCCAGAAAGAATAAAGGAGCATATAGGCTAATCTAGGGACTGATTTCCCATCCTGAAACAAAGGCACAATTAATAATAGGTGACATCTAATAGAATTCAGGTGTCACTAGAGATTCATACAGAGTTGGTGGGGGAGAGAACGACAGTGCAAAGAAGGAGAGAAAGTAATACTGAGGGGAATTAGTCTGTTGCAAAAGAGGTCCTCCACTGTTCAGAGCTGAACTCTTCTTCCTATATATTCATTTCTTTAACACAGTTACTGGAGTGAGGGAAGAAACTTGGATATCACTGGAAAAGGATGTCCTGAGTTGTAAGACTGAACGGCTTTGCAAAAGATTACTCTGATATAGCTTATTCTGGGTATATGAAACAAAATACTAAGATGGCTTAAAGCTTTCATTTTCTGAGGTCCAAAAGAATCTTCTCTTGCTCTCCACCAGTTTCAAGCACCTACCTGTGCAATCCTTACATTTACAGCCAGCACACAAGCTCTGCAAACACTACTTGGCTTACAGGAAGCCGCCTGGGTCAGATGCTTGACTAGTATTCTGGCTAGTGTTAATGTATTTCCCATTAATCCAACCCTCATTCTCAGCCTTCACCCATAATCCAAAGGTCCGGTATGTATCATTCATCTGTTTTACAAACAAAGCACATGAGAGGCCTGCAAGGCAATTTAGGAATAAACGCCAGAAGCTGATGCAACAGACGCAACTTGTTCTCCTTGCCATACCGTCTTCCAGAATAAATGGACTGTATCTGTTTTTTGGAACAAGCTGTTTATAACTATACTATCATACCATCAAATACCAAACCCAATTATGCCATTGACCTATAGGAGAATGATATCCAGCACACTATTGCTGTCACACAAAAAAAAGGTGAAACACGTGACCAAATAAGCATCAGCAGCTATCTGGTGAATAATCACTGACTTTTTTTTTTTTTTCTTTCAACAGTAACTAATCTTTCTGTCAAAGAGAAACAGTTTGCTATGTATCCAAGGATAGGCTGAAATCTTAAAGCAAATTTATTCAGAAAATTGTTAGGGTGTCATTTAAGAGAATTTACAAAGTATGGGTAGGAGAGCGTAGCTTAACATCTGAAACCTCTAAAGTTTGGACTTCACACTTTAAAATCAAAATCTAAAGCATTTTGAATTTAAGAATTAAAGTTATCTTTTTAAAATCACAATTGTGCTTTGCATGTGATAAAATTATGATCCCTCTTAAGATTAAATATTAATGAACAGAGACTCAAAACAGCAGTCTGAATTATATGCAGTTAAAAACGGTTTCTTCTAATAACACCTTTTTATAGGAATTACGAATAAGGTATGCCTGTATATGAAATGAGTTGGGCAAATTCCAATTCTAGAATTTCCAAACACGATCCAAACCTGAAAATAGAACAGTTTGGGCTGCTGAATACTGAGTCCAGCCAATTAAAACTCTGCATTTAGAAAGGCCTATAGCTGTGGCCAGTCCAGCATAACGGGTACCACTCAGAGGCATCCTTAAGACTGTGCATTGAGTACATAGAATTTTACAGGTCTACTACAATGCAGCAGGGTAAAAAAAAGTAGCTCCAGGAAAACAATGGATTCAGTGAATTGATGTAAAGAAAAAGTCACTGTAAATACTGCTCATGAAGTAATCCAAATTACAAACAATGTGGTGCAAAGAGGAGTTATGCTATAATTTTATTATTATAACAGGAAGAAAAGCAACTAAATGCTGAAATTCTTATAAATTTAAATACATTGAGAAACTCTTAACAAGTGGCCAGTCTGTTAGGGATAAATATTGTCCAAGCTTCAGACGTTAAGTTGCAACAAAATGAGGTCAGGATGTGGGTCTGAGAGAGCGAAAAATTAATAAAAAATGAATCCTCAAGCCCCATTGGTCAGATAAAGGCTGGGGAGCAAAGAAGGCTATTCAAGCTCCACCCCCACAGGAAATATTGCAAACAGACAACTTTATACCCAGATTTTTTAAAGAAGTGAAAGGCACCAACCATTCCTTGAGTCAACAGAAGTAGAGGAGGCCATTCAGAGGAAAGCTCCCGAAGCTGCTTAATACAGGACGTATTGATCAGATATGGGCCAAGGTGAGCAAGGGTGAAGCCCCTTCTGTGGTGCTCTGTTTGTTATTTTCTTACATCCATACCTCATATTCAGTTCTGTAATGGACACTGAAAGATGACCACTTCTCTAAGGAGTTTTGATCCAAGAAAAAAAAAAAAAAAAAAAGGGGAAGAGAAAATTCTTCCATCAAGAGTTCAGAAAAGGGTTTTTCACAGGAATTGCATTTCTTCACTTATTGTGCGCACAGGAAAAGCAAGCTTATCAGAATGAGATTTGGGAGAACAGGTATATTGTTTGATGTAAAAATGTTGTATTTTGCAAATAGGAAGGAAAGGAAAGTCTGCTGCTATGTGAAGTTGACAGACAAGTGCAAACGAGAGACCGATAAATCTGACATAGGAGGAAGCAGCAAAGCAGAACTCGAAGAAGGTATTGCAAAGGCTGAGGGAGGCTACAATGAGCAGAGAAGGTTGAACCCCGAAGTTAAGGCAGAGAGGATACAAAAATTCGGGGATTTTATTTTTTTTTGGTGGTTTGCTTGATGCAGCGGGTTGGGTTTTTTTGCTTACATGCTAACATGTATACATATGCAAATTGACCAGTTTAATAATTATTATAAATGGTCCCATATTGCTTTTCCCACCTTGCCAGATAATGCTTGCCTTTCTAAAGATAAATCTCCCTCACCCCTCAGCTTGTTCTACAATAGATGTGCTTCATTCCTGAGTTTCTGAAGATTTTTTTTTTTAAAGTAGGTACGTTCCTGAAAAAATCCAAGTATGTGCTGCTCACCTCGATACTGTAAAGAAAGGTGTTCCCCTCATTTGAACTATGACTATATTGCTAAGACTACTAAGGTAGTTATTTCAAGGCTTGCCTAAACTTGATAAACTTAAGGTCATGCTGTAAAAAAATCTTTACACTAATTAATCTACTTGAACATGGGATAATGATTTTTTACTCAATAATGGCACAGGGTAGATGTAGTCCACTACTAGGGACCACACTCTTATTCTTTCCTATTCTTCCACTTTAGGGGGAGAAGGGGAGGATGGAGAATAATAAAAATATTTTTTAAAAGCACACAGTACCCTTAGGAAAAGAAAAATATCTTTTTATTCTGTACTTCTGCACTTAATTTAAACCATTGAGCTGTCTTCTACTGGAGAACTCTCCTTAGGCTCTGATGATGTCAGAGCCAAACCAATCTCAGGGGCTTGTTCTTTGGCCTGTGATTGAAGCCATAGGTCGAGTACAAGAGCTTTCTGCAACATATTATGTCACGTACATTATTTTAGTAGTGTTCTCTGTCCAGTTCTGTCATCTCTCCCACTGCCAAGTGACATCCCAGTGTCCATCAACATATTCTTGTTAGGTGCTTCCAACAGATAGCAGCTGTCAGTTATATCAGAGGTACATGACACGTAAATGGGGCTAGAAATCATATGTCATGGTTTAAAATGCAGAACTGTTTCTCAGCTCAATCAGGTCTCTTTATTTCTTACTCAGAGGCAGCAAGGCTGTGCCTCTGTTAGTGTAACACCCTGTCTCGGAATGGATGACACCTTCAAAGTATTAGCGAAGTTCAGCCAGATTCTTTATCCAAGTAACTGACAAGTATCCAATTATCTCATGGTTCTTTCCTCTCAGATGCCTTTCTGATTTTATTTTTTTTTTAGTACCAGATATACTACTCCTTCTATATTTAATGATGCAGATAATCTCTAACAGCCTACACAAGATGGAGTCTCTCTCTCTCGCAAAAAAACCAAACCAAAGCAAAATGCTCCAAATACATTATTTCTCTTTTTGGTGGAAACCTCACATGGGTATTAGTTACCTGTAGAAAGTAACACACAGTTCTTGAGAGTGTGTCTGTGCTCCTTCCTCCTTGGATATACCCTCAAGTTTTCTTGCTCTTCTCACTTTTTCATAGCTGCAACGCATCCAAGCATGAACTGGCACCTAAAAGAAAATGCAAGAGATCACCACACAAGTAAATTTTCTAGCAAAGAGTTGATTGTGAGGAGAGGACAGGCCTTCACTGTCAGCTTCAATGGAACCGAACAGCCTGAGCAAAACTTAACATTCATCGCAGAAACAGGTATGGCTTCCAATGTCTTTTGCAGAAGAGTAATACTGCCTTGTGACATTCTTTTGACCTGATACGCACCATAGGGCAGCAAGATAATACTTTGGAGCCAACGTGTTGGTTCACATAGCTATGGAACTGTTTGAGGTGTTTGTTGTATTCCTCCTATCTCAGCTAGCAGTGATAGCGTCCTTCAGTCTCCAACATGTAGCACAAATTCATCTGAGGGGAGGGTTACATCCCTGCTCTGTTTGTTGATGACTAAATCTCTGTTTCAGCAAGTAGGGAAAAAAATGTTGTTTATTTTCCTTGAAAGGTCCAAAACCCTCAAAGCCGGCTAAGACCCAGGCCACATTTGGTATCTCCAGCACCATGAGCAAGGAAAGCTGGAGTGCAGTTCTACAGTCTACCAGTTCCAACTCTGTGAGCATTTCCATTTCCAGCCCACCTAATGCTGTCATTGGACGTTACAAGCTGAGTGTTCAAAGTACTTCAAGTGGCAGCTCCTCTTCAGCAAGCCTTGGCACTTTTGTTTTGCTCTTTAATCCTTGGTCTTCAGGTATGAACATGTTGAATTTCCCCTGAAAGAACTAAGTTGCTTGTAGCTTCACTAATATTTGCAGCTTCTCCATTTGATCTATACTCCTTTAATACGGGGGCCGAACATTCACCACGTAACGTATCAATGAGAAAAGAAAAGGGTTTAACAGTTTCTTAGGACCTTCTGGTATACAAAAGCAGCTCTGTGTCATGTACTTTCTAGAGAGCTCCTTGCCCTAAAAGATTAAGTTCTGCTTAAGCAGATTAAGTTCTGCTTTTGTCAGAGCTTTCCTACTTCTCCACAAGGTTAGAAGAGTGTGTCTGGTCTCTCTAGAATCAAGAAGAGAGTCCTACCTACCAGCTGCCATCTTCTCCCAGATTTGACAGCGTCATACCTCTGTCTTCACTCAGACCCTCCACCCTTTTCTCTAATTACAGGAAATCCTGAGTTTCATGATCTGTTTATAACAGCAAGAACAGCAAAGGGGGGATATCTGCAAACATTCTTAGTGATGAAGACCAAGGCTCCTGAGGCTTTGTTTTATTTTGCTTGCTATGGTTGCACATATCTCTGTTTTGGCTTTTCAGGTGATGACGTGTTCATGCCTAACAAGGCTGAGTGTGAGGAATATGTGCTAGAAGAGTTTGGCATCATTTTTGCGGGCAATAAAAATCATATCAACAGCTTTGGATGGAACTTTGGCCAGGTAAATGCAGCACTGAAACACCAGACAGTAAGTATTTCATGCTCTGGTTTTCACATGAACTGGGTGATCAGGGCTTGTTTGCTTTTTCCAGTTCATCGCAGTCATACACCTCTGAAGAGCAGGAGTCTGGTACTGAAATCAAAACTTGTGCCAAGCCCTGTTACACTGATTAACATGAGGATTTGTAATTGACTAGTCAGTGGTATGACTTAGGACTTGGAGATGCAGCCAGCAGAAACCTTAGTGTGTGCTGGGTAGTAAAGTACTGTAGCAAAGCTGAAAGGCGAAGTCCTGGCCTTAGGTCCACAGGTTTCCCAGTTTTGAAAAGCTCTTTGAGTTGTAATCTTCACAGTTTGTTGAGGCCAAGTTTTTATATGGTAATTCCTGGCTGAGCTGAAGCACTTCATTTGGTGATTAAAAAAAACCCATTAAACACTTCTATGGCTCTACTTATCCTGTCTTTTAGTGGCATAATCTGCGTTTCCAAAGCACTAACTAATTTCTATAACGTAGTTTCAGGGAGATATTCTCAATATTTGCCTTTCTATGCTGGATCGAAGCTTAAACTATCGTCAGGATCCTGCCACAGATGTATCTCACCGAAATGACCCTAAATATCTGGGGCGCGTTCTCAGTGCAATGGTAAGCAACATGTTCAGAAATTCCAAACTACTAACTGTTCTTTTAAAGTGGCTAGTGAAAGCAAGCATGAAGATGCTTCTCAGAAAATTTCAGGCCACTGTTTGTATGCACCAGAAATGTGAGCCAGAGAAACACCTAGGTGGTTGCCTGATCTGAGTCTGCTGAATTTATCTCAGTTGTGGTATCTCTGATACTTGTCACTTTGATATCCAGTAGTCAAACCAAAAGTATAAGACACGGGGTGGTATGTTGAGGGACCGGTCCCTGGGAGGTCTTTAACCCAGCCTCCCATTTGAAGTGGAACTGCAGTGGTACTAGATCAGCTCAGCCATGGATTTGTCAGGCTGCCTTGTAAAATCTCCGAGGATGGAGGTTTCATGGTCTCTCTGGGTGACTGGTCCAGAGTTGCACTACCCTCTTAATGAGGAATTTTTCTCTTATATCAAATATATGGTTTTCCCAAGCTACAACTTTCTGCTGTTGCCTCTTGTTATACAACCTGCCAGAACAGAGAAAAGTTGGACTCTGACAACTTAGTGTGTTCCATTCAAGTAGTCGTAAACTGCTATTACATTCCCCTCATCCAGTGCTTAACCAGACAGAACTAACCCAGTGCTCTCGACTTCTCCTTGTAGACTTGTGTGCTCCAGGGCCACTGACCGTCTTGGTAGCCCTCCCTCCTGGGCCCTCTTCAGTGTCTCAACATCCCCTTGAACTGAGGGACCCGAAACTGGAGACAGGATTCTTGGCACAGCCTTGCTAGGGAAAATTGAAGGGGATTAACAGCTTCCCTCAATCTCCTGGTCACACTTCTCCCAGTGTAGCCTAGCGTGGGCTTTCCCTTTACGATGAGAGCGCATTGTGGGCTCAAATTCAACCTGGCATTTGCCGTAACTCCCAGGCCCCTTTCAGATGGGCTGCCTCTCAGCCCACTGCTTCCCAGCCTGTACCAATGCATGGGGTTATTCTACCCCAGGTTCTGAAGTATACACATTTTCTTCCCGAACTTAATGAGGTTTCTATTGACACAGTACCCAAGATTTTCAAGGTGACTGTGCCCCATTTGCTGTGTCAGCCAATTCCCCTAATTTAATGCAGATTTGCTGAGAGCACACTACCTCATGATCCAAGCACATTCTGAAAGCGTAGCTGCATGGTATGCTTTGATGACCCCATTCAATCATACAGTGGTAAAGTTCCCACCTTATGTCAGGAAGGTTCACGGAAAACTGGTGTTTGCCTTCTTGCCTAGTGCTACTGTATATCAGTGGGAGAAACAGTGATTAAATGCTCTCCATTTCTTGAGGGCACATATTTTATATCCCTGAAAAGATAAGGCTGCTTCCTAAAGGCCAGCTGCATGAAGCAGTAACTTTTGTCCACTAAAATATCATTCGAGGCTTTTCTCTTGCCTGCTCCCCTACTGCTACTACATCTGTTATAAACTCTTAATTTATCTCATCATAAATTTAGTGAATATTTTTACAGGTCAATGCCAATGATGACCAAGGGGTACTGCTAGGAAACTGGAGTGGAAATTATGAGGGTGGGAAAAGCCCAGGCAGCTGGACTGGAAGTGGTGAAATCCTGCAAAACTGGAAGAAATCAGGATTCAAACCTGTTAGATATGGACAATGTTGGGTTTTTGCAGCGGTACTGACCACAGGTATGTTTTATGTCATGCGCATAACTGGCACTGCACAGATTCTGTTAAAAGAAGCACAAATAATAATTCCTACATGAAAGCCTTTCAAGACATTAGTATGTTATATGAAACTTCATATTCCAGAAATACTCCTTTCCGACTATGGTTTTCTATTTGCTCTTTAGTGCTTAGATGTCTGGGGATTCCCACTCGTACAATTACAAACTTCAGCTCTGCCCATGATGCAGATGGAAATCTGCGTGTGGATGAGTTTTACGATGCTTCTGGAAATCCTTTGGACAGGGCAGCTGACAGCATATGGTAAGGCTCTACAATATTTAATAGTAGGACCTGTCAATGCCTACAGAGTCTTCAGGTGCAGAGTATAGATTCTAACGACAAATGCTTTGTTACCTTCTTAAAAATTGCCTTGAAAACAACCACACACACACAGAGGATCAATAAAAAAATACTACAAAATAATACTACAAAACTTGGCGTTTTCACTCTCAGTTAAACAGAGAATTGTGACATGAGTTACAACAGCTAATTGAAGCCAGGGCATGCAAAGTTACAGTTATAATGCCACAGATGACTGAAAATTTGTGATGTTACACTGGAAATATCAAACAGTGGCACTTGACTTAGTTTGGAACGGTTCTTCAAAAACAGTTCACGTTAAACTGTAAAAGTTCAACAGAACCAGCTTCCCTGCCTTTTTTTTTTTTTTTTTTTGCAGTGACATCATTTGCAATGAAAATAATTTAATTATTGCCACTATTAAGCATCAAATGCAATGCAAACAAGCTTGCATTCAGCAAAGAAAAGGTGCAGTCCCTCACTTATTGTCTTGTTTACTCCCTTGCTTGTCCTGGACCTATTCTAAATATAAGCGGTAACGGTAACCGTAGCATTGTGCTGTAAGAATAACAGCTAAAACCAAGAAAGTGCATGTACTCAGGACTTTTGGGAAAAACAGGCTCAAGACATTTGCTTTCTGCCCTTGAACATTTATGTCTGTTCCGCAATGCAATTTTCAGCTCCTATCTAGTTAATACAGTTAAGATCAGAGCAGAAGTGGTCAGTCTCAGATAAGAACCTATGCAAACTGAGGCATTCAATACATTTAACAAAGATGGCTGATTAACGGATGTGAACAGGAATTTAGACACACATACTAGTAGCTTACTTTGTTCATTCTTGCACATAGGAATTTCCATGTCTGGAATGAAAGCTGGTTTTCCCGCAGTGACTTGGGCCCCTCATACAGTGGATGGCAAGTTCTGGATGCAACTCCCCAAGAAGAAAGTGGAGGTACACAGATTTTATTTCAGGAATA